TGGCTTTTGAATGCAGAAACTATCACCAGATATGCCACTTCAACTTGCTTCTGAGACTTTACTAAGAATGTTCAGGGCCAGAGTTCATCATCATCGTCAAGGGCAGGTACCGTCACATTTTTTCTTTTCTGGATAGATTTTTTCCCAACCTTAGAGACTATTTTCTCCATTGGGAGGAAGGGGATACAATACAAATCAAAGTTGCAGTGGTTGCTATCAAAGAGTAATGGGTAGTCTTGTTTTCTGCAAGTCTTTTCCACAAGATTTTTGCAACTATAAATTTTTTTTGAAGTTCTTTTGGAACAAAGTTTATGACTGGTTTAAATACCATCATCTTGAGTATAGTCTCTACTGTATCTCACCAGTTTATGTGGAATTTTACCACCAAGTTCATAGTAGTTCCAGAGCTTAAACTATTTTTATAAAAATTCATTGCGTGCAATTTTTCAGAGATAACTTGTTCGTACTTTGACATTTCCCGGTTGACATTTTCTTTTCATATAAATTGGCAGACAACCAAGTATACTAGTATTGTTAACTTTAATAACATATATTTCAGATTGTCCATAATTTATCTCGTGCCGTAGACACTGATGCAAGGTTGTCAAGATTAGATGAAAGATCGAGGCATGTGCAGATTAATGACGAGAGTCTCTGTGATTCGTGTAATGCACGCCTTGGTACCAAGTTATTTGCAATGTACCCTGACGATACGGTTGTATGTTACAAGGTTAGTGCTTAATCACTTGTCTGAATTCATTCTTCAAATAAAGCTTTTGTCCAAACTTCCCTGCCTCATCAATAATTGTACTAAGCTGTCTTGGTAGGACTGTAATTTGTTATCCTTGTCTTGGTAGGCTATATTGATTGGTATTACTCGATGATTATTTAGATAAGCTCCTTAATATTGACATTTATTAGAGACAGGTTTTCTCAATTGTTGTTTCTAATACTTTGCAGTGTTACCGCCGTCAAGGTGAGTCAGTGTCCGTCTCTGGTCGCAATTTTAAGGAAGATATCTTAATTAAACCGGGTTGGCTTGTGAGTCGTTGATCTTGAAGCTACGCTATTGTTATTCGATGAAAATATCGGTTAACTGAAGCCTGATCCAGATCCAAATCCAAATCCTTCCAAAATTGGTAAAAGGAATATTGAAGATCACTCGCTCGGTAATATAATTAACTACGGCATGATGGTGGTTCTGTAAATAAATCTTGAGTACCCCATTGTATTCCCCGTGCCCCCTTTTGGAAATTGCTTTGTAAATTTTGATATTCTAAAATGTATATTTTTGCATCAATAAATAATAAGCTCATTCTTGCTTTCTAGTTCTTTCAGACATATGCCATGTTGGAATTTGTTCACAAGGATTAGACGGCTTTAGATGATAGTATTATATTGTTTTCACCTTCAATTGCTTATGTAATTCCATTTCCTAACCGTGGTAGATAGAAAATAGCCTCTCACAATTTCTTTATATTATGACTTCAAGTCTTCAACCACCGGTTTACGCAGCATAGAAATGCATAAAGAAATCATAGAAAAAGGACACATTCTTATGAGGATGAATGGTGCACTCAAATTTTTATTGAACAACGATAATGACTTGTTTGCTTATGACTTACTCGCTATATGACTGTTATCACAGGCTATTAACGACATTTGAAGATTTTTGGATGGTATTAAGAATAACTAATTTTATACATCAAGTTTTCACTTACAATTTTTATTTGAATTAAATTTTTGAGGAAAATGCATCTTTGTTCAATATTTTTTGTCTTGCAATGTTAAAAAAAATGAAAGACAATTTTACTTGCAAAACGCCAATCCAAAAAACTGTAAAAATAAGCGCAGTATAGCACGATCCAGCATGTGAGAATGTCGGAGCACCCAATTCACGATTTTTTCTCGAAATTCTTCGACTAAGCAAGAGTTCTCGAAATTAAATCTTGACCATCTATATTTTAACATGGACAGCTTGAATTTGAGGAGTAAATGTTTTGATTAAAATCCCAAAATTAAGGAAGTTACATGAAGTGATACGCAACTTATATATTGGTTGAGTTATTAAGTCTAACTAACTTAGCTAGCTTGAGCAATGGCTTAACAACCTTCTAATTAACTCGTGTTGCAAGTAATTAACTTGCAGCACAAATAATCCTTAACAAATATGAATTATATACCCATTACACCTCCTAATTCATATATGCCAACCTTTTCATTTTCACAAGTTCATTCAAATAATTAAAGCTTACTATTTTCAAAGGTTTGATGATTATGTCTGTAAGTTGCAGTTTTGATTTGTAATACAATTTTTAACTTATTTTTGTTTATATTTTTTGGTGACAAAAGTAAACTTAGTTCATTTCATTATGTAATCAATGTTCAATACAAGGATGAATCAAATGGAGATCCATAAGTCTAAATCAAGAATTGGTCGCCCTAGCTAAGTGATGAGCTACCAAATTAGCTTGACGCTTGACAAATATAACTTCAAAGTCATGATGTAAATCAAGAAGATTCTTAATACAAGATATGGTCTTGCTAAATTCAGAATTATCAGAAGAGTTTGCACTAATAGCATGCATAACCAACTGCAAGTCACTCTCAAAGATAATTCACTTCCACTGCATCTGAATGAATTTCTTAACCACTTCCTTCAAAGTCAAAGCCTCTGCTTCAATGATAGAGTGCAATTCAAAATTCTAAGAGGTATCTACCATAATAAAGCCTCCCGAAATATCTCTAAGACATCACCCTCTATTAGTCGTTCTTAGGTGTTTATTAAACCCCACATTCACATTACATTTCATCCTCCCAAAATTTGGTGGCTTCCATACATGATGATGAACGGTCTGAAGGTCGCCATTACCCTCTATTTCGTGATAATCTTGGGCCATAAATCAATCCTTCCAAGTATGGTACCCTTGCATTCCCAAATGATTAGCATCTTTCTTCTCATTATTCTAAATTCAACTGTTCCTATTATTCCATAATATCCATAACATAACCACCACTCTACCTGCAACCCTTGCAATTTCGATTTACAATACCCAATTTTCAACTTATCTTTATTCACTTGATCTCTACCATGACTCATAATATGATTAGTCAAATCAATTTCACACATGTTATCATTAAGTATATCGATCTTCAAAGCTTCAATATTTTTTAATTATTCGAATAACATTTTCATCTAAAATGCTTGGCGAGCTGGATATGAGACTACTGCATATTCAATTTCACATAATGATAGAGTCACTATTCCTTGTTTTTATGAGCTCCATGATCTTCTTCACTAGGTAACAATATTTTTAAGTCCTATCTTCAAGTAACTCTTGACATGACAACATATAGTTGCCCATGAGAGAACAGACAATGTAAGTATACTTCAACATTTTTAAATGTTTGTCATTGACTTTTGTTGATGGTCATTGCAAATGGACTATCCAATGAAAATTGTCATAATTGAAATCTAAAAGGAATTCTTTTTATCATAAGGAGTCAATATAATTGGGAGATATAAACCTTCTCACCAATATTGCTCTCTAATATCACCTTTTCTTTAACAACAATTTTTTCTATTTTTGTAATTATCAACTGTGTTTCAATAAACAATCATAAAGACTGATCAATATTTCTCAATAGCATAACTAAGACATCAACTTTCAATCTCAATTTGTGATTAGGAACCTGAAGAATTGATTGTGTTAAAAAATTCAAAAGTGTGCATATCATCCTGTCTGTCAACATCTGAGTTGGTATGACACGGAGAATCAAAGCTCAAATGTGTTTAAATTTAAAATTTAATCATCGATAGCATTAACAATTACATCCGTATAAGTCAATATAGCTCTATTTTAAAAAAAGTGAATTATTGATATTATGTAAAAGATTTGATGTTATTAACAATAACGAAAGTGAATTGCCAAAATTTGAAACGAGAAAATTGTATAGTATATCAATTTTAATATATATATCATTTCTTTTTGAAATACTTCTTCCATCATAAATTTCCAAAATCCACTCATAAAATACCGTTCTCTTTTGTTTCATGTTTGTAGTTAATGAGAAAACTTTCACAAATTTTTTAATGATAGGAAGAATTTATAGTAGTATGCACAACTTTCAAATCTCCACGCAAAACAACAATTTTCCACCAAATGGAATGCTACGATTTCTTTTATTATATTTCTAAAAACACCCCCAAAAGCACGATCAATGACTTCAGAATAATATTTATGTAACATTGATGCTTGATCCCATATGATATAACTTTGTCTCAACTATTAACTCAACAAACAGACATTTTGGAAAGATTTGGCAGGATAAGTATTCGTCAACAAGTTATTGGTGTTCTCATGCATCATTTCCTCAACATGTTATTAATCATATATTCTCCGCATGATAAATTTTAACATGTGTAAAACTCAAACTTGAAAGAACACATTCAATCGGTACAATTAAAAATTTACAAAATAAACAATAGTCTTCCAACAACTCATACATCTACAAAATGCAACTAGCACACGACGTTATTCATCTAAAACATTTAACAAACAATACATGCAATATCAACAACTCAAAAGTGATGGTTCTGTCAATTAACTTGTTTATATTATAATTCAACTTGAGCCTATTAATACACATATTTATATTCAAAATTGAACAAATGACATGCTGAAAAGTTGCATAAGTTACATAAGAAAATATCAGTTGCATTTATGGAGTCGAATTCCATATATACAATTGGCCACCACCATTTGCTTCAATTGTAACCATAAAAATGATCAAGATTTCAATACAAATTACAATAACAAAAAATCATCAAACAAAAGATTTAATTAGAGTATAGAACCTTTTAAACCAATGAAAGCATTTGTAACTTCCTTCTTGTTGTGCTCATCTATGTTTTATGGCAAGTGATACATGTTTTTTTTTATAGGCAATGGAATTCTATAACAAATGAGTACAAGGGGTATTCGCCCGATTACAACAACTCAGTTTATATTGAGAAAGTCCAATGGACTTCGACTCCATAAGTAGAAGCTACAACAAACTTTGGACTTTAGTCCAATAACATTCCAAAGCCAAGAAAATAGTTTTATCTTATCCACAACTTCCCCTACATTAAAAATCACCGACTTGAATAAAATTACATTCCTCATACTCCATAAAGCCCAACATGTTGCCAACCAAATTAACAATTTCTTCCTCGAGCGCACTTTACCAACTAACGAATTTCGAAACCACAACAAATTCTCCACAACCCCCATCAAGTTAACCATGAGTACCCCTAACCAGGATGCCACCTTATTCCACACCATCCTTGTGAATGGACACAACACCAATAAATGATCCAATGTTTCAAGCTCTAAGAAGCAAACAACCCAAATCTTGTCTTTGTTGTCCAAAAGAATAACCCTCTTAACCAACTGCTCTCTAGTTGCTATCCTATATCTAATACATCTCCAACCAAAAACTTGAATTTTAGATGGAACCAATGTAACCCATAATCATGAAGTTACTTCCAGTTTTCTTTCTTCAAGAGATATATGCTTGCTTCTACTGGAGAATACCGCATAACCTGAACACACTGAGTATGCACCATCCAAATTTTGATACCACTTGAATATGTCCCCTACACCCACCTTAGGCTCGACTGTGTAGAGGATATCATCGAGTTCCGCCAACTGTGACAATGTTGTGCCCCAAGCTGTCATAATTTCATGTCTCAGATTCCAACACCACCCATCTCCTATGAAAACACCCATCTCCTCCACAGAGGCATTCAGATTAGCAGCTATACTGAATAGTTCTGGATACGCCGCCAATAATGTTTAGCAGCTATACTGAATAATTCTGGATACGCCGCCAATAATGTAGTACCACCTAACCACTTACTTTTCCAGAACCTAATTTTTTTACCATCACCCAATCTGCACGATATACCTTCTTAGAACCAGTCATCAACAGAGCTTTCAGAAATCTGAGGAACAATATCTCTCCACCACAAAGATGAATATCGAGTTGCATTGGTAGGGGATCCAGACATCACACAAACATCCAATTGTTCATATCAAAATTCTAATAAAGGCTTCCATAGTGTTTCTCTATCCTCAAGGAATCACCACCTCAATTTGCATAACAAGAATTCATTGAAAGCCTCAATGCATTTGATACCTAAACCACCTTCCTCCTTACTCCTACAAACCTCCGGCCAACTCACCCATGGGATACCCCATTTATAAATTCCACCGCACCACAAAAATTCTCTTTGAATTCTGATAATTTCCTTCAGTACAACTTTAGGAATTTTGAAGAAAGATAGAAAGTAAATTGGGATTGTGTTCAGCACCGCATTGATTAATGTAACTCTACCACCTATTGATAAAAACCGACCCTTCCAAGCAGATAACATATTTTTCATTTTAATGATAACCGATTTCCAAACAGCTTGAGTCCTATGGTTTGAACCTACAGGGATTCCCAGAAAATTAGCAAGAAACTTACCTATCTCGCAACAAAGAAAGGTGGCAGTCGCCAACATAAAGGTATCCTCAATATTAACTCCCGACAAATTGCTTTTGAAGAGGTTTGCATTGAGACCCGATACAAATTCAAAACCTCTGAGTATCGTATCGTCAAACATTACTCCATGATGGTTTACAGATGAGCACCGTATCGTCTACAAATTGCAGAAGATCAAACACCAACGAATCATTCATTTTGAAGCCCTTTAATACCCCACCTGCCACAGCCCTTGACACCATCATTGCCAACCCTTCAGCCATCAATATGAATAGAAAAGGTGATAACAGATCACCCTGTCTCGAACCTTTCTCCAGAACAAATTCTGATGTTGGACTTCCAACGACATTCCTTGACAAACGCAAGCATCCATCCACTTTAACCACCTCGCACCAAAACTAAACCTCGTTAATACATACATCAAGAACCTCCAATTTACATTATCATAAGCCTTCTCGAAATCGACCTTCAGCACCAAACATTTCTTCCTATGTCTTTTGGCATAATCTATTATTTCATTCATAACCACTATTCCGTCTTGAGTCTGCCTACCAGGGATAAATGCCGTATGGGATTTAGACACTAATTTCCCCACAACCATTTTCAATCTATTTGCAAGCAGTTTGGCAATAATTTTGTACAAACTTCCCACCAAACTGATTGGCCTATATTCACTCAAAGCTTAGGGATTATCTACCTTGGGAACTAGAGCAATAAAAGACGCAACAAACTCCCAAGCCACTTCTCGAACCTCCTCCGATGTAAAAGCAGTTTCCAACTTTGAAGCCTCCTCATAAGTTAATTGATTAAAATGAATACCTTACATCCTTGGCCTCTGAAAACTAGTATCGTTGTATTTTGATTCAAAGAAACGTTTTACCTCATCTTTGTCCCCCACAACATCCTCCACTCTTCTCGACTCAGTTTCAACACCGCCCAAATAATTACTCCTAGCCCTTGCCTTTATGGAATTATGAAAGAACCTTGTATTTAGATCGCCTTCCTTGCACCAAGACACCCTCGATTTCTGTTTCAACACACTCTCGTGCCTTTGTAAATTGTTCCAGAATAATCTTGAAGCTTCTGCCCTTTTCTTTGATATTGTCTCCCCTTCAACCACTACATTCAAAAGATCTTCAAAACTATCATCACACACATTTATATCCTTGACAGCCTCCTCCAACCTCATGTCAATCCACCCGAAAAACATCCTTATTCCAACCACGCAAACTCCCCTTAAGCTTTCTTATCTTTTTCTTTTACCACAAAAGCACTGGTTCCCTTCACAGTCATAACACACCATTCTTTATCAACAAACTCAACCAAATCAGAATGCTCCAACCAACCGTTCAAAGTCCTGAAAGTCTTCAGACCCCAATCCAATTTATTACAGTTCAACTATACAAGACTATGATCTGATAAATCCTTTGGCCTTATCTCCTGACTAACTGCTGACAACAACTCAATGAATCCATTTGATAGGAGGGACCTATTAATTATACTCATTGACCCTCCACTCCCTTTGCTCCATGAGAATTTTATAGCTCTTGTTGGAAAATCAACCAAGTCCATGATTCCTGTGAAATCATTGAAACCAACCGAATCACGTGACCTTTGCAAACATCTACAATCCACTGATGACATTTCAATTGCATTAAAATCATCTCCTAAGCACCATTCCCCATCACTCCACTTACCAATGAGAACAACTAATTGTTCCCACATCACTCTCTTCTATACATAATTACATAGAGAATACACGTTTATAAAATAGCAGCATTTCCCCCTGAACAATACAGACACCTAAGAAGCCCCCACGAGAGAAGCTAAACAAAGATGATGATAGAAATGTGATTAGTGAAGTGGGACCTAGGCCAAGGGTGTGGAGAGTTTACATGAGGAGGAGGACAAAAGGAATTAAAGATGATGACGTGGCGGTGAATGAATTAAGTGCATGAGAGTGGCTATATGTAGCTACAGCTGGAAGGGAATAAAGGGGGAATTCAGTTAGGATTTGGTGGGGTCACCTTTGGTGTTTTGGGAGCACTCCGTGCTTGAGAATTGGTAGCTACTGCTAGTTTGTTATTTTTCTTTTTCTTCCTTCCCTATTTTCTTGTAATTGTTATTTTTCTTTTTCTTCCTTCCCTATTTTCTTGTAATTGTGGATCTCATAGTAATACAGTTGCAGCTTCTTTATTCTAATCACACTGTTCTATCCATTTCCTTACTATTTTGTGCTTTAAGACCCATCAATTGGTCCGACCTGCCGGATCGAACTCACACTAAGAAGACAACTGTAGATGCCAAGGAAGCTTAAGATGGGTGACAGAGTTGACGCTTTGGAGACACAGATAGGAAATGTGACGGCAACACTGCAAGAACTTTCTCTTCAAATGCAGCAACACGCTCAGCAAATGCATCAACAAAGCTTGGTTCTAGCAAACAGATGGGAAAGAAAGGAGAGATACCAGAAGGAGAAGCCTCTAGCAAACAGATGGGAAAGAAAGGAGAGATACCAGAAGGAGAAGCCTCTACGGGTGAATCTGCACAGAGTGAGTCTCGTCTCGCCGGAAAGAAGGTGAAATTGCCTCTGTTTGATGGCGATGATCCTGTGGCTTGGATTACACGGGCCGAAATTTATTTTGATGTTCAGAACACATCAGATGAGATGCGTGTGAAGTTGGCTCGCTTGAGCATGGAACGTTCAACCATTCATTGGTTCAACCTGTTGACGAAGACGGAAGATGAGTTGTCATGGGAGAAGCTGAAGCGAGCGTTAATTGCTCGTTATGGCGGACGTCGTCTGGAGAATCCGTTCGAGGAGCTTTCGACGTTGAAGCAGAAGGGAAGTGTGGAGGATTTCGTCGAAGCCTTTGAGCTGTTGTCATCACAAGTTGGCAGGCTTCCTGAAGAACAGTATTTGGGATATTTTATGAGTGGATTGAAACCCCAGATTCGGAGGAGGGTGCGTACTCTGAATCCTTGAAATAGGATGGAAATGATGAGGATTGTGAAGGATGTTGAAGAAGAATCGAAGGAGGAGGACGATGATGGTGAGCGTCGTGATGTGAGAAAAGGGGGGTACGAGCGTGTGGGCCGGAAGGATTGGGCCGGGTTATTAAGGAGTAAAAGTGGGTTCCAGCCCAAGGATGCAACTCGTCCGTTTCAGTCGGGTGGGTCAAACCCGAGTCAGAAAACGGGTTCGACTGGATCCAACGCGAATTCAATGTCGTCTCTGGTTTCCTCAGCTCGCAAAAACGAAGGGGGGTCGCGTTCCAGCGCGACGGAGAGATGGAAGGGAGTACGAAGTCTCCATAATGATGAATTCGAAGAGAGGAGAGCGAAGGGTCTATGTTTCAAATGTGGGGGAAAATATCACCCTATGTTACATAAATGTCCAGAAAGAGCTCTTAGGGTTTTAATCTTAGGAGAGGGTGAGACTATGACAGACGAAGGGGAAATTGTTAGTATGGAAGACGTGACGGTGGAAAGTGAAGAAGAAGTGGAGGTGGAATGTAAACTGATGGGGGTATTGGGAAGCATGGGTGAATCTCACACCATGAAGGTTGAAGGGAAGATACAGAATGTAGACTTATTAGTGTTGATTGATAGCGGTGCAAGTCACAACTTCATTTCTTCCAAAAGTGACTACTGCTTTGGGTCTTGCTATTACACCTACAGCAGCTAAGAGTATCAAGCTTGGTGATGGTCATAAAGTGATAACAAGTAGAGTGTGTAAAGGGATCAATATGAAGATGGGAGGGATTGAAGTGATTGTGGATGCGCTGGTGTTGGAGTTAGGAGGAATGGATATGGTGTTAGGAGTTGCTTGGTTAAGTACTCTTGGGAAGGTAATGATGGATTGGAAGGCCATGACTATGCAATTTTCTTATGGAAATGAGTTGGTAAAATTGCAAGGTCAAGGCAGCAAAGGATATCTAAACTCTTATCTTGAGAATACTCATAGCAGAAGTGAGCTGGGTTGGTGGTGGGCTTATTTACAGTCAATAGAAGTAACTCAATCAGTGATTCCCAAAGGCCTAAAGCTGATACTAGAAGAATTCCAGGCAGTGTTTGGTGACAGCATTCAGCTACCTCCTGAGAGGAGTCAAGTGCATCGGATTAAACTTTATCCTGATCATGGTGCTATTAATGTCAGACCCTACAGGTATCCTCACCACCAAAAAGAAGAGATTGAGAAGCAAGTGTCAGAGCTGTTGAGAGCATGAGTCATTCGGCCAAGTATGAGTTCTTTTTCAAGTCCTGTGATACTAGTCAAGAAGAAAGACAAGAGCTGGCGAATGTGTGTAGATTATCGCTCCTTAAATAAAGCTACAATACCAGATAAGTACCCAATTCCTATAGTCGATGAGCTGTTAGATGAATTGTATGGAGCTACTATGTTTTCTAAAATTGATCTAAAATCTGGATATCATCAAATTAGAGTGCATGAGGATGACATCCCTAAAACGGAATTTAGAACACATAATGGCCACTATGAGTATTTGGTTATGCCGTTTGGACTGATGAATGCCCCGGATACCTTCCAAGCTACCATGAATGACATTTTTAGGCCATATTTGAGAAAGTTTGTCTTGGTGTTTTTTGACGATATCTTGATCTACAGCAGAGATATCAAGGAACACCAAATGCATTTGAAGATGGTTTTGTCTGTTTTAGTTGAGCATTGTCTTGTGGCGAATCAAGCAAAGTGTAGGTTTGGGTGTGCTCAAATTGATTATCTTGGCCATATTATTTTTGGAGAAGGTGTGGCTGTGGACCCTGAAAAGGTGAAGTGTGTTCTTGCATGGCCTACACCAAAGAATGTGAAGGGTGTACGTGGTTTTTTGGGACTCACAGGGTATTACAGAAAGTTTATCCAGGATTATGGTAAAATAGAAAAACCTCTCACAGATTTGACTAAGAAAGACAATTTTTCTTGGGGAATTGAAGCTGCCAAGGCTTTTGATGAGATGAAGAGGATCATGACTTCTCCCCCTGTGCTAATTCTTCCAAATTTTGATTTACCTTTCGAAGTTGAGTGTGATGCGGCTGGCAGAGGTATAGGTGTTGTTCTAATGCAGCAGAGGCAACCTATTGCTTTCTTCAGTAAAGCTTTATCTGATGGGAATCTGGCAAAATCTGTTTATGAGAAGGAACTAATGGCCCTTGTGCTGTGTATTCAGCATTGGAGACATTATTTATTGGGCAGAGAATTTATTGTGCATACAGATCATAAGAGCTTGAAACATTTTTTGCAGCAGAGAATTTCATCTCCAGATCAACAGTGCTGGTTGGCCAAACTTCTAGGCTATCAATTTGAAGTCAAGTACAAACCTGGCCTAGAAAATAGAGCTGCTGATGCTCTGTCTAGATGTCATGGTGAGGTAGAAATGAATTCTATCATTTCTTTTCCTTTGTGGGCTGATAGACAGAAACTTTTGACTGAAATAAATAATGACCCGTACATCCAAAAGTTAATGAAAGAAGTGCAGGAGTCTCCTAAGCTTAGACCTAGATTTCAGGTGCAACAAGGAGTTTTACTGTATCATGGCAGGTTGGTGATTTCCCCCGAATCACCCTCTATCCCTTGGCTATTGGAAGAATTCACAATACTCCTGCTGGAGGGCACTCAGGTTTTCTAAGAACATACCACAGACTGGCAGATTCCTTATATTGGGTGGGAATGCAAAGGAGTGTAAGGGATTATGTCAGATCTTGTGATGTTTGTCAGAGACAAAAGTACAGTGCTACGACTCCTGGTGGTTTGTTACAGCCTTTACCTATTCCTAATAGTGTGTGGGAGGACTTGTCCTTAGAATTTATCACTGGGTTGCCTAAGTCTAAAGGTTATGAGGTTGTTTTAGTGGTAGTGGATAGACTATCCAAGTATAGTCATTTTGTTTTACTCAAACATCCATATACTGCTAAATCCATTGTTGAACTCTTTGTCAAAGAAGTGGTGAGACTTCATGGAATTCCAAGCTCTATAATTAGTGATCGTGATCCTTTATTTGTGAGTCATTTCTGGATGGAGTTGTTCAAGTTGCAGGGTACGAAACTGAAAATGAGTTCAGCCTATCACCCAAAAACAGATGGTCAAACGGAAGTGGTTAACAGGTGCCTGGAAAGTTATTTGCGGTGTTTTGCTTCTGATCATCCAAAGACTTGGTCATTGTGGGTCTCGTGGGCGGAGTATTGGTACAACACTAGCTTTCATGTATCTATTGGGAAGACTCCGTTCGAGGTAGTTTATGGGAGACAACCCCCTGCATTGCTGATATTTCTGTCTAATGAGACGAAAGTGGATGTCGTGGCATTGGAATTGAGTGAAAGAGATGAGGCCCTAAACCAACTCAAACTTCATTTTCTCAAAGCGCAGGAACAAATGTCAAGGTATGCTAACATGAAGAGGAGGGACTTGTGTTTTGAAGTTGGTGAATGGGTTTTTCTGAAACTAAGACCTCATAGACAACAGTCAGTGGTGAAAAGGATTCATCAGAAACTCGCTGCAAGATTTTATGGACCGTTCCAAGTGGTGGAAAAGATTGGTGAAGTGGCTTACAGGTTGAAACTGCCAGCAACATCTAAGATTCACTCAGTTTTTCATGTTTCATTACTCAAGAAAGCTGTTGGGAACTATCAGGTACAAGGAGAGTTACCAAAAGATTTGGAGGTGACCAAGGAGAATGATGTATATCCTGATAAGGTGCTGGGTTCAAGAG